ACGTTTTCCATCACGGTGAAGACGCTGGCAACCATGTGCTCCTGTTTGGAGCATGAGCGTCCGCTGTTTGCGGAAATGCCGGCGCGGCCACGGTGTTACTGTCTCGCCCGCACGCCCTCTTGATCCCACGACGATCGACGACGTTCGGTGCCATCGGATGGCAGTTGGCACCGGTGCACGGCAGTCTCCACTCCAATCGAATGGGCACTGGGAAGGCCACCCATGCCCGCATCGGCAGGGGCGTACACGTTCTGGACCGATGCCCGAGCCATGCCCGCACAAGGCAAAGGATTTGCCTCTGCTCCTGCGTGTGATCGGCTCAGTTGATCGTTGTTACAACTTACATGCATGCGCTTGACGGCCTGAGACCAACAAGATGAGCAGGACGGACAATGCAACAAACTGACGCGATAAGGAACGAGGTGCATACAATAGCGCCACGCATGTGGCATGTCAGCATGTGCCGTCGCAAATACATGTCCTACAGTAACAGTCCTCTACTCTATCTCATCCATGGCAAGTTGGGCAACATTCACGGGACGCGGCTGATGCTAGTAAATGAAACTTGGCATGCTCGGACGAGGCCCTCATCAATGGCGCGGGCCGCGGGCGTTCTCTTGTCTTGCCCGGCTGGCCGGCGTCCCCGGTCCCTCGTGACAGGGCAGCTGTGCCGATCAGGCGATCACCACCGCTCAACTAAAACCGTGCGCATCCACCGGTCTGTTTTCTCACAATCAGCTATTTTTTTTAAACAACAAAACAATTTCAGCCGGACCTCGCTGCTCGCGGCGGCAGCGTGCCGGCTCGTGGTCAGCAAGGGTACGCGTCAGGCAGCCCGTATCATCCGTGTCCTGCTACTGGGATCGATCTTGGATGGTCAGCTGCGGTGCGCGTACGCCGGCACCGATCGACACGATCCATTCATGGTGTGCGGGCGTGCGTACCGCGTACGTAAGCACTAGTACAGTAGTACTAGTACTACGGCCATACGTGGTCCTGAAGCTTCCTGGTGTGGTGTGGACGTGTGATTAATTGCGCTCTCGTGCACCTTTTGGGCTTCTGGCGTACAGTAATAGCTTGCAGCGTACTACTCTCAGTGTTACGGAGAATAGCGAGGGCCAAGGGGTGTTCAACTAGCCACGGCCGTTGAACTCACTGGATTAGCTACCCATGGACTTTTGCTTGCCAGTTGCCACGATAATACTAACACGCTAATTTTCGGGAATCGTTCGGTGGCGCCATGTTGCAGCATGTTCGCGACGCCGTATCGTATTGTGGATTATTTACTGCTGGCTAGTTTGGTGTGAGAGAAAAACACTGTTGTCGACTAGAAATTTACGATCGTTTACGAGCAAGCGAACATGCTGTTGGTTTGCATCCATGTGTTTCTGCGAAATATGCCTTCGTATATATAGGAAAAAAATGAAGACATCCACCCTGTTCGGCAGCTTGTAACTATCTGTATCTGGCTTGACTTATTAGCCAGCCAACAGTATTTTTCTCTCACACCAAATCAGCAAGTAGAACTTTCAGCCCATGGCTTATAAGCCAATCCAGCCGAAATGAACAGGCTGATCAACCGTACACGTATTAGGGCTACCTATGCTGAGATACAGTATGTTCCATAGCTCTTGGTTCAGACCCAATTTGAAACACAGAATCATGCGAACCCACGGCAGCATCTTTGTAAGTTGTAACATGCTACATGCATTCTGAAAATCCCTAGGCAGCGTGTAGAGCATGTTCTTGAAAAAACAAAAAGGAAAGGAATCGTTGGAGGGCAACCATCGGCGAAAGAAAATTGTTCGGCCGATGGATTTTGCGGCTGACGTTGTTTTGTCGTGAGAAAAAAAGCGTTGTATCATAATTTATAAGCCGGGCTGATAAGTTTTCAAGCGAATAGGGTGAATATGCACAACAAAGGTGTAAGGCCCTAGATAATTAGCAGAGCTTGTTTATTTGACTTTTGAAGATGAAGAGCATATTTGACCATTAGCATCACCTAATAACAGACGCTCGTCAGAGCTTGCTGCCTGTTGCGCCCTGACACCGGTTAAAGAATCGCTCGCGCTCTGAGACCGGTGACCCACCATCAACATCCCCATCTGCCATGGATAGCGACTGACATGTGGGGCTGAAGCTAAAAAATCCTTGCCCACCTGTCAGCGTGTGACCCATTAACCCCCAAAGGACACCTGGCCGGACTTGGCCTTGGTCGTCCGTTCAAAAGACACTGCCGACGTGCAGGCCTTTTGCTACTACCACTACTAGTACGAATCAAACTCACTGACAACTGGGATCAGGCGTTTACTGGGCCCACATGTGATGATAAAAAAACAATCACCAGCGTCCAATACTTACCGCCCCGCGATTCGAAAAATCAAACGGAGGCAAGGAAAGAGAAGACTCGAAAAAAAGGGGGGTTAAACCGCGGAGCAAAGCACACGCATCCATCCCTGCCCCGTCTCCTGTCGCACTCGCAGTCGCCCTCCTCTCTGCGGTCTCAAACCCGAGCACACGCGCCGCGAGCGAGGGCCAGGAGGGCAAGGAAGTGGGAGCCCGCAGCTTCTTGTCGGCGCGGGGCGGGGGCTGAGGCGAGCCACTCCCCTCCCCGCCGATTCGACTCCCTCGGGTCCCGGGCCGTCTCCGGCGGCCGCCCCGACGGATCCTCTCTCGCCCAATCGCCCGGGTGAGTATGAGTACCGGACAGTAACGCGAACCGCCCGCTGAGTTCTACCGTTTGCGTGTGAGTTTACAGACTGGTGGTTTTGTTTATTTTTATTAACCCTTTTGCAGTTACGGGAGTGATCTAGTGGTTTTTGGTCTGCGGCGGGGGTCGAGATGGAGGACTTGCTGAACACGGAGATCGGGAAGAACGACTATGACTGGTGATTGAATGATTCCTCTCGTTTTGTGGCGATCTGATTTCCTAATTTGGGCATGGTTTGGCGCTGCGTGCAATTGGTTAATCATGTGAATAGTTACTCTGAGCTTAGTGGAAAATGGTTGGCAATGTGGTGCTCTCAAACAATCTCTAGAGTTGGCTTGGTCCCTCCAGGACTAATTTGTACTGATTGTACTTGTTTTCTTCAGGGGGTTTGCCCAAATCATGTTTGGGGTTTTTGGGAGTAATGGTTGCGATTGGTTGTGTGCATTATTGGACAAGGTTGGCCTGCCTGGTAGGGACCTTATTTGGATTAGCTGCAGAGTTTGTTATGCTGAGAGCAGAGAGAATCCAGCAACTTGATGGTTGTATATGTGGGCTCCTTCCATGAATAGCAAACTTTTGGACATTATGTGCATATAGTATTTCTTAGAAAGGGGAAATAATCAAATAAAAAGAACAAATGCCAATTCCTATTTCAGAATGTCTTCAGTCATCTCACATCAGGGTGACTCTATTGTTGTTTAAGTGAAACACTTTACCCATATAACTCTGAACTTCCAAAGGTACACCGATCAAATTTATGGGTTGACTTATTGTTTCAACGCAAGTTTTACTGCTTTCATGCAACCATCCAACCATTTTGATTTCCCAATTAATATGGTAGCTTCACCGGTATTAGGAAGTGTTACAGTGATAACGGGCTGAAGCCATGGGTGAACGCTGTTCTGCGGTAGCTTGCTGATGAGGTTGGCTTGTGGCAGTTGGCAGGGTCAATAGCGTTAGACACTTTGCTAGCATGAGGTCCTTTCTTGGTCGTAGTCTCAACTTTTTTCATGGTTTATGTGCAACATAGACTAATGTATGCTGTATAACGGTTTGTAACTGAATCGTTTTTGCTTATCCTGATATAATGATCCACAACTCTAACGCGTATTTGCCAAAAAAAAAAAAACCTTCCAGATAATGAGGCGAGATAAACATCTAGCTACAACAATGTTGATTTCAATGCCATTTTCATGGATTGTTGTGTTGTTGGCTTGTTGCCTTGTTGCCTTGCTAGTCAAGATGTAGGAGTTAACTTCCATTTGTGCTTGAACCTTGTCATCTATCATCTAAATATTTCTGATATTTGCTGTGCGGGATCATGTGGCATGTGTGCACAATTGACTACATATCTTGTCCTGATCTTATCTAACATCTGTAATGCATTCCTCAGGCTTCTGACACCCCCTGGAACTCCCCGTGTTCCTGCATTAGATGCTGCTGAGAAAGCCCCATCCTCAACTGTGACTACTAAACGTACTGTTACCAGATCATCCTCGACGACTAGAGCTTCTAGGGTCGGTAAAAATTGCTATTATTGAATGCTGTATGTTTTTACATGCAACATGTTTCTTGATTCTTTGTATATGCAGTGTCATGATGTTTTGTGAAGACTATATATGTTTTATGGCTAATGATCAGTGGCATCTGAATTCACTCAGGCCATATTGATGATTTACGTACATAAGGAATAACAAAGTACTGCTGCATTCAAGTTGCATGCATCAAATTAACTTGTGGTTCATCTATAGGTCTATATATGTTTGTCACATACTTGCAAGTTGCAACAATCATTTATCCATGCTTTATGGAATCTACAACTGCAAAGATAGGAATTTCAACCACCAATTTCATAGTTTATGATAAATTTAAGAGTAATCTGTGCCTAGCTTCAAGAAGTTGCTAGAATCATTTAATCTTCTGGACCAACGGAATCATTTTGAAAATCTATTATCGTGTTGTTTTGAGGGTAAATTCTAGAGTAATCTGTACCTAGCTTCAAGAAGTTGCTAGAATCATTTTAATCTTCTGGACCAGCGGAATTATTTTGAAAATCTATTATCGTGTTGTTTTGAGATGGCAAACTTGATAATGATACCTTCTTCAGTCTAACTGTGGGATCATACTCAGCTAACTTGCTCTCTGTTACTCATATTGTGGTGGATCATGATTATAATTAACATAGCTGTATGATATGTTTGTTGCAGCTTTCCACTTCTGAGACAGAGAATGGGCATTCGATATTTCCCACTAGGCCAGCACGGAGTATATCTGTCTCCCGCCGGGCAGTTCAATCTACACCAATGTCTAGCAACAGCAGGTCATCAGTCCTCAATGCAAACATTTCCTCTGTTAGTTCAAGACCTACAACCCCAAGCAAGCGGACTGCCACTCTTACCGCATCAAAGCCATCTGTTCCATCGTCACGTCCAGTACCAACACGGTCCTCTACACCTGTCAAAGGCCGTCTGTCTACACCAACAAATATTCGTCCGTCTACTCCAGTGAAAAATCGTCCTTCTGTGTCCAACTCTGTTGTTCCCAAGAACACGTCAGCACAAAGCTCAAGATCATCAACTCCAATCTCTCGGTCTCGAACCTTGTCCAGTTCATCTTCAAGCAGTACAAGTGCAGTGAGCCGTCCCAGCTCATCCTCTGGTAAAGTTCCTGCAATAACTCGTACCAGTTCTTCATCAAGTACAGTTCCTTCAGTGAGCCGTTCTAGCTCTCGGTCATCCACACCCACTCGTCGGCCTGCCATGCTTTCATCAACGCCATCTGCTGGGCGGATTTCTGGCAGCAATAACATGACATCTAATGGCAGACCCTTAGCCAGCAGTGGTCGGAGTTCAGCACCTTCGTCAGCGCCATCATCTCGTCCAAGTTCCCCAAATACACGGACACGAGCTCCAGTTCGCCCACTAGATATTCCAGACTTTCCAAGTGAAACTCCACCGAACTTAAGGACTAAACTGCCAGAACGACCACTCTCTACTGGTAGAGTACGGCCAGGTATTACTTCGGGTGTCAGGTCAACCCCAAATGCTGAACCAGTTCTCTCAGCTCCTGTAAAAAAGATGTCTGTGACTGCTATCACTCGAAGTAAGTTCTCAGATATACAATCAAAGACATCTCTTACCAATGGTCACCAAAGTAGACCGAGCGAAAGATCTCTTTTGGAAGGTCAAACAACTAGAACCTCGCGGTCTGTCACAGCTGCAGACAATGGATTTGGTAGGACAATATCGAGGAAGTCACTTGACATGGCTATCAGGCACATGGTATGTTCACCCCTCATATTTACATTGAATTGAACAAGGTCTTATGTTTTTCTACCTCTCTGTGATAGGGCCATCACATTCTGATAGTTTTCTTTCAAGAAAAAGACATAAGAGTTTCTGCCATTTTTGTCCGAAAAGAGAGTTGGTTTCATCTATATGCAGGAAAGATTACAACAGCCGTCATGTTACTGTATGAAAGTAATTTCATAGCTGCGAATTTAAAATACTCCCTCCCTCCTTTTATATTTGACGTTAGTTAGATGGGGAGGGGAGTAGTAAACTTGAATGTTTTAAATAATCTGTGTTTTAGAAGAACCTAAAGTCCCACTTAGTTTTTTTTTGGGAGAACACAAATAGGTGAGTTTTACCTCTTGGATCTACAGTTGGCAACATTCTCTCTTGTTATTTCAATTTTCATAAATTTGTGCTCTTTTCGGTGGGTTACTTGTGATTTTATCATTAGCATAGGTTTTCATTCTGAGAAGAAACTAAATGACTTATTTGTCATAGGACATTCGACAAAATTTGGGTGGTATCCGTGGTACATCTCTATTTCCTCATAGCATTCGATCTACTACTACCAAGGGGCGACCAGCTCGAGCCTCAGATCCAGGCCATTCCGTCTCAAATGGTGACCGATACTTCACAGATAATGGCAGCAGCAATGGGCACTTCTCTGGAGATTCTAGTGGTGCTCTTTCACACAACGGTGGGAGCTCAATTGGTTCCCCTGATAGGGAAACCTTTGGAACAAAAGAGGTTCTGAGTGAACTGGATATATATGCCAATTCACGATATGAGGCGATGTTGCTGAAGGAGGACACCAAGAACATGAGTTGGTTGCACAGCGTGGATGACAAGTCTGACCAGAGCCCAGTGTTTGATCATAGGTTTGAGCCGCTCCCTGAGCCATTCGGTCCGTGATGAACTCTTTATACTATGCATAAAGATTCCACTCATTGTTTTGTTCGTCACTTGCTATTGAGGTTGAAGGTTTTATGCTGCTATCTCTTTCTGTTTGATCGCCCACCTCCCCCATCTTTTTATAGATCTGCTAGAACAGATAAAGATCGTGGGGTTTGTACTTTTCTCCTTTAATAGCTGGAGTCTGGATTTCTAGTGATTTGTGCTGGAAATCCTATGTGCGGGACTAACATATATACTCAATCCCATCCTTGGCTATCATTTTGATTATGTTCTAAGTTTCTACAGTTTACCGTTGGATGATGTGGATCGCAAAACCACTTTGTTCCCAGTTCCCATGCGTTGATTTCTAATTTGAACTGAACCCAGTCGTGTTACACAAACATGTTCGAGTTTAAAGCCGAGCTGACATGCCTGTCTGGGACAACCTCTGCTGGAAATCGAGTGAACTCGACAGGAGGTCCCTATGCAATTCAAGGCGCGTTTAGATGTAAAATTTTTTGTGTTTTGGCTACTGTAGCATTTTGGGTTTTAGGTTCGCCTCTCGCTTTATCACCTTTGTGTATTTAGTCTTTCATATGCGCCGTTAAGATTCATGTGATGGGTCTAATTATTTTGGAACTAAGCCCTTGTTTAGTTTCGAAAGTTTCGTTTTCGCGATTTCTTATTTGGTAAATAGTGTTCAACATGTGTAATTAGGTTTTTTTAATTTCCTACTACATTTAATTAGTTTTTCTTTTTCGCTCTACATTTAATGCTCCATGTATGGGCAAAATATTCGATGGGATGCAGAGTCAGTAAGAACTTTTTAAATTTTTTGGAACTAAACAGGCCAGACCCTCAAGTGGAATCTTGAACAGCCGGTTGACCTATTAACTCCACTGGTCGCTGCGACTCGTGATAGTGGTTCAACCACTCTGAAGAACAATCATTCTAGGTGAAATAGCCTGAGCTAGAGCAGGTCCCCGAATCTGTAGTTCTTTTATTTGCCCTAGGTAAAGTTTTGCCACGAGGCTCTTCTCATTGGAGTTTACCTGTCTGTCCGTAGTCGTCGACCTTGTGTTAAAATTCGATCGTTCTTTTTCATCTTCTTAATATTCTTCTCGTATGGTATGCTCCAGCTGTCTACTAAAATTTCAGTTTTTGGCTTATACACCCGCATCCAGGCTGCTGAAAAGTGAAAAAATACTGGAGCGGCGAAGTTGGATGGGAACATAAATTGTTTTTTTTTGGGGGTCTGTACATGCTACTGCCAAATCGATTGTAATATAGAGTATGTAAATGTAGATGTAGCCATGCATGGTACTGTGGTCTGTGGATCTGTAGGATATACATAATCTAACCACCAATCGATGGACCACGAGATGCATCCATTCCGTTGTCATGTGTTAGAGCATGAATGACCTGTCGCCTTCTCTTGTTTAGCAGTGAAACGTGCTGGAGTAGTCTGAAGATCCAGTAATTCAGATACGTCACGCCCACAGAAATTGCTAAAAGAGTCAACAAGCCGCGGTCCTTCATTTCAAATTTTCGTAGTAATTTGTGACCGGCATTTCGCAGCACAAGTTTCTCTTCCATCTTTTAATTTGAGGCCGTTGGAACTTGGATGCTTTGCCTGAAGTAGTGGAGTGGGTTGTTGATCTAGCCATCTAGGACGTTGGCCATAAAATTTGTGCTGCGTTGCTCTCACGGTCCACCAACTGCACCTACCATGGTATCCGTTGATAGGAAATTAATCAATGTGCCGGAGTACCTTCCATTCATGTTGTAATATAACACTGCCCCCCTTCTCGCTGCAGCTGCAGCTGCAGCTCCACAGCTGTAGAGTATTGTCGCGTATGCAGTACAGCAGTAGCTTGACTGATCCTTCGTCCTCTAGGGGCATGTTTGGTGTTGGTAGGCGCCAAATACTACCTCCGTCCACGAGAGATGCAATTCTCATTTTTCAAAAAGTCAAGGCATTTAAATTTTGACTGAATTTATATAAAAAGTACTAATATTCATGATATAAAATAAGTATTATTAGATTAGTTATAAAATATATATTCATAATAAATTTATTTAGAAACATAAATATTAATATTATTTACTATAAACTTGATCAAATTTGTACTAGTTTGATTGGTACGCTTTCATAATTACATTATTTTGGGGACGGAGGGAGAAGCAAGCCGGTGGCAAGCAAAACAAACTATTGGTCTTTGATCAAAAACAAAATTCTAACGAGAGACAACTTAGCCTCACGGGGATGCCTACATCAAAATTTATGTGCTCTCTATAATGGACCTTTGGAGATAGGTGTCCACATTTGCTTGCATTGTGCCTACTCTCTTTGATTTGAGCAATATATGACAGCTAAATAACTTCGAATCCATAGTTGATTTGTGGGAGGAGGCACAACGACACATTCCAGAGGCTCAATCCAAAAGAAAATCTATGGAGCTATGACCACGTCATGACTTTGACAATGAACCAAATAGACGCCGAAGCCATGGCGCGTTGTAGCAAGCTGTGTAGTGAACCAAATGCACTTAAATGTGACATTTTAAATTTTGTTTAAAGTTAAACTATCTCAGGTTTGATCAAATTTATGGAGAAAAGCATTATTATTTACGACACTAAATATGTATACTATGAAAGTATATTTCATGATGAAACTAATACTACTTATTTGTTGTCGTAAGTTTTGATAAACTTTTAATATTAGCTTGGCCAACCTTAAGATATTTTGACTTTAGATAAAGTTAAAATGACATTCTTTAATAGTCTGACTTTAGATAAAGTTAAAATGGCATTCTTTGCGGGACGGAAGTAGTAATAAGAATAATGAAACAAAGATCCTCTATCATATTCTTCCAAGAGATTTAGCTTTTTTTTGTACTCACTTCATCATAAAAAGAATATAAATCTCACTTTTCATCCAAGGCCCTGGCTAAAAAGGATCATATACCTCTGAGTTTATATTCTCAAGTTAAATCTTTTAAAGAAAACTTCTCCATTCATCCTAAAATAGCTATAAATTTCATTTTTAAGGTGTCAATCAACTTAAAAAAATATTCTGAATTTCAAAAAACAAGATGTATAGTTATTTTGAGAATATTCCCACCGCTCTTTTATACATGTCGTATTATGTTTATCCTAAGCCAAATATTTCTAACTTTGTCCATCATTTAAAAAATTGTATAGGTTAACAACATAAGATTTATGTTTTTAGATTAACTATGATAAATACTTTATAATATATAGTTCACATATTGCGAAACTAAATGGATTTTTTAGAAATTGATGGTCAAAGTTAGAAAAGATTGGCTTATGACAAACCTAATATGATATGTAAAAAAGAGAGGGAGTATTCCCAAAAACTTTCGAAAGTCAAAATATTTTCTAAATTTTGACCCCTCAAAGTGAGATTTGCAGTTATTTTAGGATGAAGGAGTAATTTTCTTTCAAGGATTTAACTTGAGAATCTAAATTCAGAGGCATGTAATCCTTTCTTTGAAAGAATATTATTCCTGAGTTATTTGCTAAAAAAATGAAACAGTGTAGATAATGGACTTTGCTTCTTAATTATATCTGGTAAACATAGGTTTAGATCATAGATAATGGATGCCCTTTTGGTTGATCAAACGAGAAAACCAGCGCTCTGTTCGTTTGGTTTATAAGCCGTACTTTTTCAGCCAACAGTATTGTCGGGTTCATAAACCCGGGGTCCCTCACGGACCAGCTTCCCAACAAAGGCTCGGCCCAAGCAGACAACGCGCAACTCGTGGGCCGACCCAAAGTACCTGAATGACAGGTCAGAAGACCGGTCCAAGCACTGACCGGAAGGTCTGGCCGAGAAAAACGACGCCCATTTTTTACTCCGCCCACCTCTCCGACCGGAGCGCTCGCTTCGGTCTCCAGCCCGCCTCCGAACGGCCTCTCCGACCGGAAGGTCTAGCCAAAGCACCGCTTTCGACTCCGACCCGCGTCTCTCGACCGGGGATGCACCGAACCTCTGCTCACCGCTCTTCTCCGACTAGCGCGATGAGAGCCGACTGGGACCAACCGACCGGGGACGCCCGCTCGGTAGGGACCAGGAAATGGACGGAAAAGATAAGGCATGGCGCACAAGTCAAAACCGCAATACCAGGGACCGTACCCTGTACACCTGCAGGTAAAGGAGCAGTGAAATATCACAAGAGGGCTATGCCAACCCCATCACGAACGATGTACCTAGATTCCACTCGAACATACCCTTTAGCGAGCTCACCGAGCGCGTCACTCAAGCCCGAGCGATCAAGGCAAGCGACAAAACTCAGCCCCTCCGGTTGTGAGAAACCGAGGGGAGGTAACGCACACAACTCAAAAACCAACCCCTACCAAGGCCCAATGGGGCTTAGGGGCTCAAGACTCGGCTACACTTCGACTGCACACCAAACGCCTAGGTCTACGACCCTGAACTCGCCCCATCAGGATCCACGACTCCGACTCGCCCGATCCCACGATGCGCACCGACGCTAGGATCCACGAGCTCCGTCTCGTATGATCCCTATACTAATCGCCCTGTCCGATCCCAAAACTAACGGATCCATGACTCGACTCCCGATCCCATAGCGCGCGACCGACGCCGAGATCCGCGAAGATTCACTTGTTCGATCCCTAAAACTAACTATCCCGATCCCACGGCGCGGACCGATCCCTATAGGATTCACGAATCGCTCTCGCTTGATCCCTATACTAATCGCCTCTTTGCCGCACACACCGCACCGACGATAGGATCCACGACTTCGATTCGCCCGATCCCACGGAGTGCACCGACGCCAGGATCCGCGAGCTCCGTCTCGTTCGAACCCTAAAACTAACTGTCCCGATCCCACGGCGCGCACCGATGCCAGGATTCACGAGCTCCGTCTCACCGATCCCTATA